CACCATTGTCCAACCGATTTTGGATTGAATGCCCTTCCCCAGAAAGTGGAGAGTCACATGACACTTGGACTGGAGAGCTGGAAATTGAGATTGGAGAGTTTGAAGCTTCTTGTGGGAAGGAAACATTCTGGTCTGAGTTGTGTCCAGCACCCCAAATAATAAGTCGGTTCCAACGATGATTCTGGAGGTAAGGATCCATCTGAACCATTGTATTATTTGCAGTCATAGCCATGTTGTCAGACAAAGCCCATGCTAACCTCAACAAGAGGTACCACATCAGTGCAGTAGCAGTGATATTGGGGCCAGTACCCATTCGAGGTGCAGACAGGAGTCTGATGGGCATGGTCACAACTGGTTACTGTAAGGGCTCCACAGTAAAGTGTAGGAAAGGCTGAAGGTACTCATCCTTGATGTCCACGAAAGCCAGAAAGTGTCCCTGGTGCAAAGACAGTCCTTGATGTCCATGAAAGCCAGAAAGTGTCCCTGGTGCAAAGACAGTCCTGGTGGATTTTCAGAGATTTGACCTTCAAGATGGAGAACATGGACACCTAGGTACAGGACAACTGAGAGGTGTGCACTGATGCAGAAATGGTGGAAGAGGGAATCTGCTGCTGGACTGTATTACTGAGCTGAACCCTTTCACCGCACGTGACCTTGCTATCTGTCTATACTTGCTGGATCTGTGATTGCTACCCCTCTTGTTTCTTGAACCCCCTCACTAAAGGTACCTCTCATTCAAGGGGCTTAAAACTACTAAGGTATCTGGGGTGGTCCTCTAATTTCTGAAGACCCCCTTGACTTCCAGGCCAGGGTTATGGGAAGAGACCCTTGTCCTCAGCAACATGGGGTCAAAGTGTTGTGGAGCCCCCCATGTTGAGAGCATGTGGAGGGGTCCTCTAACTTCTGAAGAGGTTTCCAAATTCTAATAAGCCACCCGTCTGCAAACCCCCTTGACTTCCAGGCCAGGGTTATGGGGAAGAGGCCCTTGTCCTCATCAACATGGGGTCAAAGTGCTGTGGAACCCCCCATGTTGAGAGCATGTGGGGGGTCCTCTAATTTCTGAAGAGGTTTCCAAATTCTAATAAACCCCCCCCCCCGTCTGCAGATCCCCTTGACTTCCTCATCAACATGGGGTCAAAGTGTTGTGGAGCCCCCCATGTTGAGAGCTTGTGGGGGGGTCCTCTAATTTCTGAAGAGGTTTCCAAATTCTAATAAGCCCCCCGTCTGCAAACCCCCTTGACTTCCAGGCCAGGGTTATGGGGAAGAGGCCCTTGTCCTCATCAACATGGGGTCAAAGTGCTGTGGAACCCTCCATGTTGAGAGCATGTGGCCTTCTAGGGTTAAGGATGGTGAGCGCACGCTCGTCCCCCCTTACCTGGTCAGCCAGGCTGCATGCTTGGATTATGGATCTAGTCTGGAATGTTAGGGTGACCCCACCCATTTTTTCATTATTTTTGTGGGGGGTTTTCCCATAAATATATGCTCATCCCTTTTTTTTCTGGCCAACCATGCTGCATGCCTGGATTAAGTGTCTGGTATAGAATTTTAGGGGGACCCCGAGCATTTTTTTCTTGATTTTTGGGGGTGGTTCCCGTAAATCCATTCCAGCCCTGGGAAGTGCCTGGTAGGAATTATGGGGAATACCCACTCCAATTTTTTATTGTGTCTCCCATTAAAACCTTTATCAGGGCCTTAAATATCCATATCAAATCTTATACGAGCATGCAGGGCTGCTACGAATAATGGGGAATCACCACCTTTTTTTTTGCCAAGATCAGCTTGAGGTTTGTAGATGCAGACTGACCAAATCTGGCCACTTCATTGGCCAGTTTGGTGAACTCCAAGTAGACAAAGTATGCTGAGAACCTTGCGTTGCAGCAAACTTAAACCTCCTTGCAAGTAATTAATGAGGATAAGCTCCTGAGCGCGGCCATATTATTGTTTCCCATATTTGAAGACATGTTGGCATACAGCAAAATCGACATGCCCCATGTCTTAGAAATTTGTTCCACGGTCATTTTTGGTGGGCATTCATAGATGTGCTCAGGTTTGAGTATTGTTTTATGATGAACAGAGTATTCCTCCAGGTCTGCTGGTCTACAACAAAATGGCCAAGAAGAACCAATCACAGCAGAACCTGCCTTTTACCCATGACGCTAAGCATTGGGGGATGGGAGCTATTGTTGCAGGAAGTGAATGGAACAGAGTTGCGAGCAATGGAGGCAACCTGCACCAACCTGACGGAGAGAGTATTACGGCTCGCCCTAGAGATCATCTACCTGCTGACCGGGGAGGTGAGGAGGATTTTGGGAGCATGCCCTCCACGTTTGGTTCATTTTGTTGACTGATACCTGACCGAAAAATAACTTTCTTCCAGTTTTATTCCAGCGACAAATCACCATGAAGTTGCCAATGAATGTAATTTTTTTTTTTTTTTACAACTTTTTATTACATTTCTAAATGGACAAAAAAATTTGACATTTCTATATATAACTTTTTTGTACTTATCAACGGATAATAATATTTATTAGTGTAACCAACAACAAGCTACAAGACAAAGTTTTCCGAAATTTGTGTTGACAGCTGGATAATTTAAAAACTTTTTTGTTTCAAAAACTTTTTTTTTTTTAGCTAAATTATCCCATTTTATATTATAGTATATATATATATTTATTTATTAGTTTTATTTTTTTGTATATTTTATATTTTTATTTTATATTTTATTATATATTTTAATTATATTTATGAGACGTCCATATTTTCTTTACAGATTCTCTTTTCCTGAAATCTGGGCACTTTAAACAATTATTTGCTGAAAACAATTGCTGAGAAATGTCAACATTTTTTTTTTTTTTTTTTTTTTTTTTTTAATATATTCAGATTTTTTTTAACATTTAAAAAATTAATTATAACATATATTTGTAAATGCATTCCAAAAATGTAGGTTTGTATTTTTAAAGGCATATAGTATATTTGAAATGTATTTTTAAAGATATTTTTCATATATTTTGTAATAAAAACACATTTCAACATGCAGTATATATATATAAAAAGTACCATGTGATCGGAGTGCAGGGTGTTTCTAAAAGTAGTGAATGCATGCAGATTGTTATTTCTTGTTCACTGTAGCTCTGCTCTCATTATTATTATTATTATAATATAGTATTTATATAGCGCCAAAGGGTTTGCTCAGCGCTGTACAATAGCAGGGGGACAGAACATGAGACAGGACAGAAACAATACAATACACGAGGGGTTCGAGGGCCCTGCTGTTTCGAGCTTACAATCTAGGAGGGAGGGGAAGTGGAACAAGAGGAAATGGCTGTGGGGAATGAGTGGTAGGAGGAGTGGAGGAGGTCAGTTGTTAGGGAGGGAGGGGTAGGCCTCCCTGAAAAGATGGGTCTTCAGGGTGCGTCTGAAGGTGATGAGGGTAGGTGACAGTCTAATGGACTGGGGTAGGGAATTCCAGAGGAGTGGGAGGTCCTGGAGAAATCCTGCAATCGGGCGTGGGAGGAAAAGACCAGGGAGCTAGAGGGTAGGAGGTCCTGTGAGGAGCGAAAGGCACGGGTAGGGTGGTATTTAGGTATCAGGTCGGTTAGGAAGTTTGGGGCGGCGTTGTGAATGGCTTTGTAGGTCAGGGTTAGCAGTTTGAATTTGATGCGTTGGGCAATCGGGAGCCAGTGAAGGTATTGGCAGAGGGGGGTGGCAGGTGTGGAGCGGTTGGTGAGGTGGATGAGTCCTGCCGCTGAATTCAGGATCGACTGGAGTGGGGATAACATTCGTTTGGGTAGGCCAGTGAGAAGGGAGTTGCAATAGTCCAGGCGTGAGATGATGAGGGAGTGTACGAGTTGTTTGGTAGTGTCCGGGGTGAGGAATGTACGTATCTTGGAGATGTTGCGGAGGTGGAGCCTGCATGATCTTGAAAGCAATTGGACGTGGTGTAGGAAGGAGAGGTGGGAGTCCAGGGTGACACCCAGGACTTTGGCATGTGGGGTGGGAGTGATGGTGGCGTTGTTAGTAGTGATGGAGAGGAGGAGGATTTCCTTCCTCACGACCTCCCACCACCAGTTCATAATGAGGACCTTCAAAGTAGGCCACTACAAGATCAGTACAGAGAGGTACCATGAATGCAGGAAAACACAGTTGAATGCCCCGGACAGTGACTGATACAATGTGACTGAAGACAACCTAACCGGCAATTATGGGAAAAAATATCATTACCTCTGAAAGAGGCCATCAGTCAGATTGTAGCAAAGAGGGACGATGATGGCAGCAAGTTGCAACTTCGTTTGTTGGGAAATGTGTTGAAATAGTGATTGGTAATCTCTCTCCACAGAATAACATAGTTGTGAAGAAGACATCGGGAGATGGAGACTACTCCATTATGGTTCCTCTACATTTATTACTGGTTCCAGAAAGAAACAACGAACAGAAGATTTTAGAAGTCACCAAGAAGATCCTTGACCTCCTGATAGGAGAGGTGAGCGGTGTTGGGAATTCCGGGACATTTTCAGACAAAGGATGTGCCTGGATGGTGACTGTACCATTGTGTGTGTCAGGTTCCTATAGGTAGTTACGAGGTCTCCATGGCAGGTTCCTATATGATATTGAGATGTCTCCAGAGGCATTTTTTTTTTTTTACATTTTTATTCAGAGAAAGCGGATCAATTTTAATGTTAGCATCAAAGAAGAGATAAAAGAAGAAGAAGATCATAGTGTGGTGAAGGAGCAGCAGTATTTAGAAGGACACAAGGATCTCTACAAGGACGTCATGATGGACAATAAGCCGCCCCTCACATCACCGGGTAAGAGGAGACTTTATTGTAAAGGAGAGAGCAGTACGAAGGGTCCACCTAGATCACCCATCATCTGATAAACACATAGAAACAATTGATTCGGTCAGTGTGTTTGTTTCCTACAGGTGGATCCAGTCATGGAAAGCCACCAGAGAGATGTCCCCGTCCTCTGTACTCCCAGTATTCCACACAGAAAGATCACACCATCCCCCACCATCATCAGGTAGGTGGATCCAGTCATGGGAACCAACTAGAGAGATGTCCCCGTCCTCTGTATTCCCGGGATTCCACACAGGAAGGTCACACCATCCCTCACCATCATCGGGTAGATGGATCCAGTAATGGGAACCCACCAGAGAGATGTCCCCGTCCTCTGTATTCCACACAGGAAGGTCACACCATCCCTCACATCATCAGGTAGATGGATCCAATAATCGGAACCCACCAGAGAGATGTCCCCGTTCTCTGTACTTCCGAGATTCCACACAGGAAGGTCACACCATCCCTCACCATCATCAGGTAGATGGGACTGAGGATATTAAACTCAAACGTGGCTCTAAACTATATTACACAATATTCTTCTATGTAGTCTTGAGTTTAAAGTGCTTGCAATGATTTTGTGATTTTAGGGGGAAGAAGTGATTGACATCAAAACTGAGGTTAAAGAGGAAGAAAAGACGTATGTGAGGGGAAATCAACTGTCTTTGAAGGAAGCCGAAAGAACAGTGGCAATTTCCAAGGAGGAATCTTCTCTAGATCTCAGCACAGGTGATTATTATGTACAAAAATGTCCACAAATTTTATTGTGTGTACCTTTTTGTTCACATTTTACTTTCTTTTCCACAAGTTTTGGTAAGCAGATTGACAAAAAAAAAATTCTGAAAAATCAGCACGCCGTCATACAAATTTTTAGACAGAGTCAATTAAATTGGCTTGTTATGATATGGCAGAAATGTATCCAGTGTACTGACTGTATGCCACGTCCCATGTAGAGGAGATACTGTACACCATATGAAGGTCCATCTCCATTCCTCAATATAACGTCATGTTCCCAACAAATGAGGAGGAGATACTGGACACCATATGAAAGGTCTATCTCCATTCCTCAATATATCAACATGTTGCCAACAAATGAGGAGGAGATACTGGACACCATATGAAAGGTCTATCTCCATTCCTCAATATAACGTCATGTTCCCAACAAATGAGGAGGAGATACTGGACACCATATGAAAGGTCCATCTTCATTTCTCAAATTAACGTCATGTTTCCAACAAATGAGGAGGAGATACTGGACACCATGTGAAAGGTCCATCTCCATTCCTCAATATAACGTCATGTTCCCAACAAATGAGGAGGAGATACTGGACACCATATGAAAGGTCCATTTCCATTCCTCAATATAACGTCATGTTCCCAACAAATGAGGAGATACTGGACACCATATGAAAGGTCCATCTCCATTCCTCAATATAACGTCATGTTCCCAAACAATGAGAAGGAGATACTGGACACCATATGAAAGGTCCATCTCCATTCCTCAATATAACGTCATGTTCCCAACAAATGAGGAGGAGATACTGGACACCATATGAAAGGTCCATCTCCATTCCTCAATATAATGTCCTGTTCCCAACAAATGAGAAGGAGATACTGGACACCATATGGAAGGTCCATCTACATTCCTCAATATAACGTCATGTTCCCAACAAGAGATCTGGGGAACGGGTGACTGGCAGACTCATAACCGCAAAACATGAATAAGGAATATGTTATTATTTTTATAATAAAAAAATTATATATATTTCTAACAGGAGGACACAATGGATGGAATACCTCAGAGGGATGTTGTATTTTATCTGCAGATTGTAGTAAAGACGATGATGTCATGGTACAGTGTTCTCCAGGAGTAATCATTGTTACTCAAAATTTACATAACAAACCTAATCATATGGTAAGGTCAACAAATCGCCCAACTTCTGAGGAGCCCCAAAAATAAATTCCTTGCTATTCTCCCAAGGGTCCAACCAAGCGTCCACAAGGCAGAGAAATCACCAGATCCTCCTAATTCAGAGGAACCTTCTCCCAATAATTTCCATCCTTTTCAAAACGGTGAAAATGCACTCACAGAAACCCACGACCCGGCTGTACTCCAGACCATGGACACCACCGAAAGACGCTTTTCATGTTTCGAGTGTGAGATGAGCTTTACAAAGAAAACGGAACACCTCCGGCACCAGAGAACTCACACCGGGGAAAAGCCCTTCTCGTGTCTTGAGTGCGGAAAGGCTTTCGCCGAGAAATCGAATCTCAAAAGACATCAGAGAGTCCACACCGGTGAGAAGCCCTTTCCCTGTTCCGAGTGCGGAAAGAGCTTCTCTGATAAAGGGAACCGAGATCGGCACATGAGAGTTCACGCCGGCGAGAAGCCATCTTCCCGTCCAGAAGAGAATTCTCCACCGGAGAATACAAGTGACGTGTGGCCGCTGAAGAACAAATGGTGGAGTGTCGTGGGATGAATTATTGTGTCTGTAAAACATTCGTACAAAAAAGATGAGGCCTGAACGATCGGCCAACCCAACCTTAGTGAGGAGGTTGAGATGTTTGGTGTCACCACCACATCTCCATCATAGTGTGCAGAAGACTCATCTGGGAATTTGAAGTTGCCGGTATATTTATAGAAAAGTGAAAGAAAAACATATTTTATTTCCAACATAAATATTTAACCTCATGACCTCCAGAAGGTTTTACCACCTTCATGACCAGGGCGTTTTATTTGCTATTCAGCACTGCGCTTCTTTTAACTGGCTACTGCTCAGTCATGCAACACTGTATGCACCTGACATTTTTATAAAAAAAAATTCACACACAAATAAAGCTTTAATTATGGTAATATTTCATCAGCGCGGGGAGATTTGTTTTTTATTGTAGAAATGAATAAAGACTGACAAGGGGGGTGGGCAGGAGTGGCAGTTGCCGTGGGTACAATGAGGATTTGAGGGGTTGTGCTAGAAGGGATGATTCAGAGGTGGGATTTGTACTAGGAGAGGGGATTTGTGCTGAAAGGGGAAACTTGGGGGGGGGGATTTAGTGCTAGGAGAGGGGATTTGGGGGTGATATGTGCTGAAAGGGGAAACTTGGAAAGGGGGAAATTAGTGCTGAAAGGGAAACTTGAGGGGGGATTAGTGCTAGGAGAGGGGATTTGGGAATGATTTGTGCTGAAAGGGGAAACTTGGGGGGGGGGGTGAGTGCTAGGAGAGGGGATTTGGAGAGATTTGTGCTGAAAGGGGAAAATGGGGGGGGGATTAGTGCTAGGAGAAGGGATTTGTGCTGAAAGGGGAAACTTGGGGGGGGGGGATTAGTGCTAGGAGAGGGGATTTGGGGGGTTTGGGCTGAAAGGGGAAACTCGGGGGGATTAGCGCTAGGAGAGGGGATTTGGGGGTGATTTGTGCTGAAAGGGGAAACTTGGGGGAGATTAGTGCTAGGAGAGGGGATTTGGGGGTGATTTGTGCTGAAAGGGGAAACTTGGGGGGGGGGGGGTGAGTGCTAGAGGGGATTTCGGGGTGATTTGTGCTGAAAGGGGAAACCTGGGGGGGATTAGTGCTAGGAGAGGGGATTTGGGGGGATTTGTGCTGAAAGGGGAAACTTGGGGTGATTAGTGCTAGGAGAATGGATTTGAGGGGGGATTTGTGCTGTAAGGGGAAATTTGGGTAGGGGATTAGTGTTAGGAGAGGGGATTTGGGGTGATTTGTGCTGAAAGGGGAAACTTGGAGGGGGGGGAAATTAGTGCTGAAAGGGGAAACATGGGGGGGGGGGATTTGGGTGTGATTTGTGCTGAAAGGGGAAAACATGGGGGGGGGGGGGGAGAGGTGAGTGCTAGGAGAGGGGATTTGGTGTGAATTGTGCTGAAAGGGCAAAATTGGGGGGGGGGGATTATTAGTGCCAGGAGAGGGGATTTGGGATTTGTGCTGAAAGGGGAAACTAGGGGGGGGGGGGATTAGTGCTAGGAGAGGGGATTTGGGTGGTGATTTGTGCTGTAAAGGGAAACTTGGGGGGATAAGTGCTAGGAGAGGGGATTTGGGGGGGATTTGTGCTGCTGAAAGGGGAAAACTTGGGGGGTTTAGTGCTAGGAGAGGGGATTTTGGGGTATTTGTGCTGAAAGGGGAAACTTGGGGGGGGGGGGGGATTAGTGCTATGGGGGGGGGAGGATCAGTGCTAGGAGGGGGATTGGGGGGGGGGGTGATTTGTGCTGAAAGGGTAAACTTGGGGGGGGGGGGATAGTGCTAGGAGAGGGGTTTTGGGGGTGATTTGTGCTGAAAGGGTAAACTTGGGGGGGAGGATTAGTGCTAGGAGAGGGGATTTGGGGGTGATTTGTGCTGAAAGGGGAAACTTGGGGGGATTAGTGCTAGGAGGGGGATTTGGGGGGTGATTTGTGCTGAAAGGGGAAACTTGGGGGGATTTAGTGCTAGGAGAGGGGATTTGGGGGGGGATTTGTGCTGAAAGGGGAAACTTGGGGGGGGGATTTAGTGCTAGGAGAGGGGGATTTGGGGGTGATTTTGTTGCTGAAAGGGGAAATTGGTGGTAGGGGGGATTTAGTATTGAAAGGGGGGGGGGGATTAGTGCTAGGAAGGGGAAACTTTTGGGGGGGGATTTGTGCTGAAAGGGGAAAATTTGGGGGGGGGATTAGTGTTAGGAGAGGGGATTTGGGGGGGATATTTGTGCTGAAAGGGGGAAACCTGGGGGGGGGGGGAATAGTGCTAGGAGAGGGGATTTGGGGGTGATTTGTGCTGAAAGGGGAAAATGGGGGGGGATTTGTGGGGGAGGGGGGGTGATTTGTGCTGAAAGGGGAAACTTGGGGGGGGGATTAGTGCTAGGAGAGGGGATTTGGGGTGATTTGTACTTTAAAGGGGAAACTTGGGGGGGATTAGTGATAGGAGAGGGGATTTGGGGGGGGGATTTGTGCTGAAAGTGGGGGAAACTTGGGGGGGGGGGGGGGGATTAGTGCTAGGAGAGGGGATTTGGGGGGTGATTTGTGCTGTAAAGGGGAAACTTGGGGGGGATTAGTGCTAGGAGAGGGGATTTGGGGGGGGGTGGTGATTTTGTGCTGAAAGGGTATTAACTTGGGGGGGGGATTAGTGCTAGGAGAGGGGGTTAGTTGGGGGGGGATTTGTGCTGAAAGGGGAAAACTTGGGGGGGGGGGGGGCATTAGTGCTAGGAGAGGGGATTTGGGGTGATTTGTGGTCTGAAAGGGGAAACTTGGGGGGGATTAGTGCTAGGAGAGGGGATTTGGGG